TGAAGACTATACTCTTTTATCTTCATTAGTAAGTGCTTTAAGTCATCTTCACTTTCAGTAAGCAGGGTTGTGTCATCAGCATATCACAGGTTGTTAGTAAGCCTTCCTCCAATTCTGATGCCACGCTCTTCTTTATAGTCCAGCTTCTCAGACTATCTGCTCAGCATACAGATTGAATAAGTATGGTGAAAGGCTACAATCCTGATGCACTCTCTTCCTGATTTTAAACCATGCAGTGTCCCCTTGTTCTGTTCGAATGACAGCCTCTTGGTCTATGTACATATTCCTCGTGGGCACAATTAAGTGTTCTAGAGTTCCCATTCTTCGCAATGTTATCCATAATTTGTTATGATCTACACAGTCAAATGCCTTTGCATAGTCAATAAAACACAGGTAAACATCTTTCTGATGCTCTTTGCTTTCAGCCAAGATCCATCTGAATCAGCAATGATACTCCTCATTCCATGTCCTCTTCTGAATCCAGTTTGAATTTCTGGCAGATTCCTGTTGATGTACTGTTGCAACCATTTTTTTTATTATCGTCAGCAAAAGTTTACTTGTGTATGATGTTGTTCAATAATTTCTGCATTCTGTTGGATCACTTGTCTTGGAACGGACACACATATGACTCTCTTCTAGTCAGTGAGTTGGCCAGGTAGCTGTCATCCACATTTCTTGGCATAGAAAGTGAGTACTTCCAGCATTGCATCTGTTTGTTGGAATATCTCAATAGGTATTCCATCAGTTCCTGCAGCCTTGTTTTTCACCAGTGCCTTCAGTACAGCTTGGACTTCTTCCTTCAGTAGCAATGGTTCTTGATTATATGCTACCTCCTGTAATGGTTGGACATTGACCAGTTCTTTTCGGTACAATGACTTTGTGTATTCCTTCCGTCTTCTGATGCTTCCTGCATCCTTCAGTATTTTGCCCATAGAATCCTTCAGTATTGCAACTTGAGACTTGCATGTTTTTCTTCAGTCCTTTCAGCTTGAGAAATGTGAAGTGTGTTCTTCCCTTTTGATTTTCTAATTCCAGGTCTTTGCACATTTCATTTTAATGCTTTACTTTGTCTTTTTGAGCCACCCTTTGAAATCTTCTGTTCAGCTCTTTTATTTCATCATTTCTTCTATTCAGTTTAGCTAGTCTCCATTCAAGAGCAAGTTTCAGAGTGTCTTCTGACATCCACTTTGGTCTTTTCTTTCTTTATCTTTTTAATGACCTTTTGCTTTCTTCATATATGATGCCCTCTCACAACTCTTTGGGTCTTTGGTCACTAGTGATCAAGGTGTCAAACTGTTCTTGAGATGGTCTCTAAGCTCAGAGTGGGTGTCCTCAAGATTGTACTTTGACTCTTGTGGACTTTAGTTTTCTTCAGCTTCAGCTCAAACTTGCATATGAGCAATTGGTGATCTGTTCTGCAGTCAGCCCCTGGCCTTGTTCTGATTGATGATATTAAGCTTTTCCATTGTCTCTATCCACAGATGTGATTGATTTGATTCCTGTATATTCCATCCTGCAGGTTTCATTTGTATAGGCACTGTCTATATGGTTGAAAACAGGTTAATTGGTCTCGCAAAATTCTATCATACAGTCTCTAAGCACCGTCTCTTATCACAGGGGCCATATTTTCCAGTTACTGTCCTTTTTTCTTTGTTTCCCACTTTTTCATTCCAATCACCAGTAATTATTGATGCATCTTGATTGCATGTTTGATCAATTTCAGACTGCAGACATTGGTAAAAATTCTCAATGTCTTCATCTTTGGCATTAGTGGTTGTTGCGTAAACTTGAATAATAGTCGTATTAACTGGTCTTCCTTGTGAACTAAAGGAATAAAATAAGTATGAATAAAAATGTTGCTTCTTTTTGAAACCAAAATAAAACTAGATGATTTTTTCAGTGGGAAAAAGTAGTAGATTTAAGGGAAAATCAGAAAAAAGAAGATATTTTACAACCAACAAAATTAATTATAGTGATATGTTCAGTTAAGCAGAAGTTGTGATTCTGTCACTTTATGGAATAGTTTTTAATAATTTTTCTACCCACGCCAAGAATATTCTTTCAGTTTTTAATGACTCGTTTTAAATATACCTATTTTCTCTTTATTGGCCTTTAACCTGTGTTCATAAAGGCTATTGATGGAAGTCAGCTTTTCGAGAATAAGGCTAATACGCCATCAGTAAGGATTTGGAAGAGTCATTACAGTTAAAATGGATAAATGGTCACAAAAGACAAAAGCCCATGTTTTTCAGCCTTTGTAAAGCAATCCAGTGATGCAGTATGTGCAATTTACTGGCTCCTTGGTATTTAAAGGAGCTCTGGTGGTATACAGTGCCTAAAGCATCTGACTGCTAACCAGAAGGTTAATGGTTCAAACCCACCAGTCGCTCCATGGAAGGAAGATGGGCAGTCTGCTTCCATAAAGATTTACCACCTTGGAAACCCAGTGAGGGTCACTATGAGTCAGAATTGACTCAATGGCAGTGAGTTGGGGCTTTTTTGTTGTTTAGTGTTTTACGCAGGACTCCTGCATAAATGGCACACAGTGAAGTCCTGTAGAGCAGCACTGACCCCTGACGTGTGGGCAGGTCTAATCCCAAGGGCCACCTGAATTCTGTTTCTGTAATGCTACATTGACGCCTTTCTTACAGGGCACCTCTGGGTGGACTCAGCCTTGTAGTTAGCAGTGAGCATGAGCATGTTAACCGTTGGCACCACCAAGGATGCCTGTGCAATTAACAAGACAGGAGCTAGGCACCACACAGCACAGTGTTTCATGCATTTGGCCACGCGGAGCACACGTCTCTCAGCCTCCCCCTTCCTCCCCACTCAGTGCAGAGGGAGGAGGTGGTTAATGAAGCCCTCAGGTGCACCGACATCCTCCCCACCTGCTGCTGACTGCAGCGGGTGTTAGGCCACCTTTCCTTCTCCTTGGCTTTCCCTCTCCTTCCCCCACAGAGGGGAGGCGGGGCTTCTAGGCAGCCTTTCTAAGCCGGGGCTTCTCCAACTGTCACATGCTTACAGATCAGCTGGGGCTTTGCTGAAATTGCCCTATCTGACTGGGCAGGTCTGGGGTGACTTTTGAGATTCAGAATTTCTCACAGGCTCCTAGGTGATACCAGTGCTGGTGCCGCCGTTCCACAGAGCCAGGTCGGGTAGCAGGAGTCTCTTAATGCCTTAGGGAAGAGGGGAGGTTAGCAGAGAGGGGCATCCCGAGTCACTGGGAAAGATAGCAGATGGTGGGGAGTGAAGTTCTGTGGTTGGGTCCTATCGAGAGTCCTGGTTGGTGAGAGCATTGGCCAGGTGGGATGAAGCTGGCAAACCCTGGCTGCCGTTAAGTGCCTGTTGTATCGCAGCTTCATCGCATCCAGAATAAGAGTGTTCGCTGCCTGGTTGTGTGGGGCAGGCAGGAGCTGTGCCTGGCATCACACTTAAACCTGGCAGGAGCCAGGCTAAGCAGAATTCCAGCATCTTTTCTCTAAATAGTTGGATGTGACGTTGCAAGCATCATTTGTAGAAAAGGCATAGGATGAAAGCAGAGTAAGAAATAGATGGCTGAGGGGTGAGCCCCCCCACCCCCAGAGTCTCACACCCTGGATCCTGTGGTTCTAGTCTGTGCCAATCACCATGGAGCTCACAAAAATGGAGTTATGGGTCCCACACCTTGGGTCCAGGATGGGGGCCCAGAACTGGTCGTTTACAAGCACACCAGGGCATTCTGATGCTGATGGGCACAGTGCTACGGGGCATACGGAATGTGAGCTCTGGGGACTGGCCGCTGGCATTAATCCCATTCCACCACTGACCCACTGTGTGTCCTCGAGCACAGAGCCCAACCTGTCTGTGCCCATTTGCCTCATGGTAAAGTGAGGCTGCAGATCACTCCTACCACACAGGGTGCTGGGGGACTTCAGTAGGATATCCATGCAAAGCCCATAGGTGCCACCAAGTGCCACAAAGGTGACTGAGTTAAAATTACAGGTGGAGATGCCCTGTTTTGCCACATATTGTCTGGGTGACTTGCACAAGTTGCTTCTCTAACCCTCATCTTCCTTACTTGTAATGAACATGAAATGTAAATAACAAAGGCCCCACCTCATAGCTGTGTTGAGAGGAGAAAATCAGTAAGGCATTTAGCACTACCCAGCACATGCATAGTGAGTGGACGATGAACATTAATTATTGTTCTCAAGGTCGTTGTCAGGTGCCATTGAATCGACCCCAACTCTCGTGACCCCATGTGACAGGGTAGAATCGCCCCATAGGGTTTTCTGGTGGTATAGTGCCTGAAGCATTTGACTGCTAACCAGAAGGCTGGTGGTTCAAACCCACCAACCACTCCTTGGAAGGAAGACTGAGCAATCTACTTCTGTAGTGATACCGCCTTGGAAACCCAAGGAGGGGCTGCTATGAGTCAGATCCGACTCAGTGGCAGTATGTTTGGTTTTTTGGTTTTTAATCTTCATAAAAGCAGGTGGCCAGGTCTTTCTGCCGTGGGGCCACTGGATGGGTCTGAACCACACACCCTTAGGTCATCAGCCAACTGCTCACCTGTTGTGCCCACAGGGCTCTTGTTCTCTAGGTAGGCCAGGGTAATCGCTGTACGGAGAACTGGCGTTTTCAAACTGCTCCAGGAGCAGCAGGTTTTACGAACATGTACCTGGAGGCTGTCTTTGGGGGAGAGTTGGCCACCGTTCATCCCACCACTACCCCCTTCAACCAAAAGGGCTCATCTTTGTTGGGGTTCAATATTAAGATTTGACTTAGAAAAAGAGGTGTGGGGTGGGGGGAAGGTAATGGTCTAAATTTTCAGGCAGTTCACGTTTTTCATGTCATTTTCTGAAACAGAAACAGAAAGAGCAAGCGGTGCGTATGAGAGGAGTGTGCGTATACCTGAGGTGCCGCAGGGCTGGGTTGAGTCCATTTGTGTCGCCAGGTGCAGCGTTCACCGTGACCACGTGGTTGCACGTGCTAATACAGAACACTGTTTTCTCCTCCAGATGAGCACCATGCCGGGGCTGCCCACTCGGCCCTGCTTTTACGATATCGACCTCGACCCGGAAACAGAACAAGTTCAAGGCCTGTTCTAAGTCATCAGCCTCTCCAAGGACTCCATGCAGGTATGCTGCTGCCTTTTCCCTTTTTTTTTTTTTATCAGTTCAAATCCTGATTTGTTTTGTTTTCCTGATATTTGTTACAATAGTGACCTGGTAAGTCTACCAACAGCCCCTAACCTGGCCCCACCCCAGGCGTGGACACACAGTTGGTGGTCAGTACAGAGACCCACACTGAACCCTGGGCTCGAGTCGCAAGTCGGACCACATCATCTCTGAATCTAGATTCTGTAGCTTGTAAGCTCATCATCTTCTTCCCGAATTAAAACTCATGTCTGTTATAGTATTAAACGGGAAACCGCCTGCCTGCTACCTGTCTCCTGGTGCAGTTAAAATCACACAACAGGCGCTCACCTGTGTCACAGCAGGTGTATAGTGCTCCAGGTCACCGGCAGACACAGTGAGACAGGAGAGGTCACTGGACTCAGGGAGTGGGAGCACGGGGAGGACAGGGTGCTGGAGGGCTCGTGGTTCACATAGCATCAGCCTCAGGAGTCCACAGCTGGGGACCCTTGGTCTTATTCCTGCCTACGCCCCAGGACCGCAGCCACTCCCGCTTCTGCCCTACCTTCCCACAGTGGAGCAAAGTGACCCTCCCTCCCGCTCCCAGGGAACTCCCTGTCTAAAGTTGTAAAGGCTGAGAGCTGCTTTCCCGTCCCTCATATCACACGTGCCCTCACCGTGTAGTCAAGGGACATTTCTGCCCCAAGCCCCCCAGTTCCTTCTTCCTGTTCACTCCTGTTTTGAGCCCAACACCCTTCCTCTTGGCAGCACAGCCTAGTCCTTCCTCATGGGCCTGCCTGAGCCAGAGACCCCACTCTCCAACTGTCCCTGAATTAGGGCCCCAAGCCCAGGATACAGGAGACGCACTGCCAGCCGGTGACATGGGGAGATGTTTGTGTCTTTGTTTTGTAAGATCCTAGGCCGTGATCAGAAAGCTAAGGAACCACTTACATGAAATGACATTGATGCAAGGTGTGGAATTGTTTGCTTTTGGGAGAGAAACGTGCATGCATGTGCGTGTGTTGGTGGTGTCTGCGTGCTGCTGAGCAGTGGGAGCTGTGTTATGTTGTCCCCACAGCCACGTCTTTGTATCTTCTTTATCGCTCAGAAAATGGAATAAGGAGACTCATTTAACAACGAAGGCCATAACCTTGAGCTGTGGTAACAGTGTTATTCTGGTCACTCGGCAAGTGCGTGAATGTCTGGGGTTTTCCCTTGGAGAACAGCAGGCTCTTACCTTTCAACCAGGCTGGACCTCGGTCCCAACTAATCTCCCTTTCATGTCAAGAACTGAGTTTGCTACATTTCTGCCGTTGGCCATTCTTCTCCAGAAGAAGTGTACGGTTCTCTCCTTTCTCTTGAGTAGTAGTTTTCTAGCTTTTTGGTCAATTTTTATTGGCTCTCCAAAAGGTTCAGATAAACTCAATTATACATTAATTATTGCAGTTAAGACTCAGATAAGGCCAAGAGATGCATCCCTGTCTTTCCTAATTAAACAAAAAACTCTCCGCCATAGAGTCGATTCTGACTCATAGCAACCCCATTTGGGTTTCCGAGGTGGTAAATCTTTATGGAAGTAGATGGCCCAGTCTTCCTTCCACAGAGTGGCTGGTGGCTTTGAACCACCAACTTTCTGGTTAGCAGTCAGATGCTTTAGGCACTACGCCACCAGAGCTCCTTTTATCTTTCCTAATGCATATAGTTAAATCCTGTATTACTTGAGATATTCTTGTTCTCTAGAAAGTATTCCTCCAGGTTCTATTGAAAGATGTGAGTGGAGGGGCCAGGAGTCGGGACACAAGCATTGCTTGTGTCCCTCCAGCGCACCAGGTGTTGTCTGAGCACCTACGTGGGTGGTCCGTCCTTGGAGGCAAGTGATGTCCCCTGAGGCCATGCAAATGTCGAGAGATTCAGTCCTAAGAAAGTGATGTATGTTCTACTGTGTATATTTTGAACAACGAAAATTAAATTAAAAAATGTTACAGGCGGTTCGGTCCTTCCCCTGTGGCCCCACGGTGTGTAGCTGAGGGTGGCCTAGACTCACAGGCTGCAAAGCGTCCCTCCCCACTCAGCACGCTCTCCTGTCACAGCTGGCCCCGGACGTGGGAACGAGCGAGCGTCATTCCAGAGCGGTGAACACTGGCTCTGAGGGGTCAGCCTGTCGCTCACGTTGCATATCTAACAAGTCCAAAAGCCAGGACAGCCAGACTGGCTTACTCTCAACCCCCCTTCATCCTTTATGCCCCAAACCAAAAGATGCTCTTTTAACATCAGCCACCGGGTAAATGAACTTTGACCCTTTTCCAAAACTGATACGAGCTATTTGATCAGACTGGTGTTTGAGGTAAATGGAGTGATTTTTTTTAATAGCAAAAGAGGATTATTTAGGCATTAAAAGCTGTGACTTTGTCAAAACTCTTTTTGGTGAGCGATCTCTTAACTTGAATTTAATCATGTTTTCTCCCCTTCGTTTGTCCAAGGTGTCTTTCCTCTCTGTGAGCTATGAAATACCCTTCCAGGTTCCACGGGCAGTGGTTCAAAACCCACCATTTGACCCTGCTTGAGCAATAGCAAATGGATTCAGTGTCCTAAGAGAAAACCACCACACGGAGCAAACGTTCTCTCTTGGTGACTCCTCACTATTGGCTCCTGCAAGCATTCTGTCATTGCCTGTGCCCTCCAGCCTGTCACAGTCAAGGGCCACTTCTAATAATAGCCAGCGAAAGGCCTGTGGGTTTTAGAAATGGCACGAACTAAAATTGTGAAGGCTTGGAGCATGGTCAGTGTGGGTAAATTTGGGCACAGGAAAAGGAAGCGTCTGGTTAGCCCACTAGCACAGTGGTCAGACTGTGGATAGGCTTGGGGTCAGCTGCCTGGCAGCTCACTGCGTCCTCCTGCGGGGACACGCGAGGGACGAGCCCCACATGGCAAGAGGGTCCACTCAGTCGGGGACTGTGGTTTCCTTCCGCTTCCTCCCCCTTCCCACTTACTGCACCCTCTAGGAAATTACGGGAGATGTCAGGTGAATTTGAGATGCCAAGTCCCCCGAATTTGAGCTCTTGCTCCATCTTTCCAAGACTCCCTGCCGTGTGGTCTCTATTAGAATAAGGGCATGAGTCATTCTTTTGGATGTCACTAAATAGAACTCATTAAAATACACTGTTTGTCCCAAACAAACTGATCCTGCCAGTCTTTTGTTTGAAGATGATTGGATTTGGGAGTTTGATTCTCCGCCCCCCCCACACACACACACACACTCACACTTCCAGCTTCTCATTCGAACTTTTATTGTATTTCTGAGCCTTGGCAGGACCGAAATGAGCACAATTAAGTGTGGCAAATTTCCTGAAGCCTCCGGACCCTCCTTTATCTGTTCTGATGTGTGGCATTATGTTTAGTGGGGAATCAGGGACAGGCCCTGCTGCAGGTGTTGGTTGTTTACCTGAGGACTCTTTTTTTAATTACACGCCCCCCCAAGGAGTGCTGTTCCAGCTCCTTTTGTCCCTCGACTGCCCTGAGACAGAAATATTCCATGATACTTAACAGTCCTAGGTTCGTCCTAAGTAGGGTCACTGTTGGTTGCCAGCCTTCTTCCCCCCCAAGGTGGCCGACCACGGGGTTGTGGCGTTCCCTTGGAGAGCACCTGGGCTCTGTGAACTTGCTCTTGAAACTGCCTTTCCACAGAGAGCATGGAAATTGATGACTACCTTTGTGCTCCAAAGGAGGCCTGTGGCACAGCCGTTAAGCACTTGGCTGCTACCCGAACGGTCAGCAGTTTGAACCCACTTTGGAGAAGGATGTGGCGGTCTGCTTCTGTAAAGAGTACAGCCTTGGAACCCCTGTGGAGTAGTTCTACTCTGTCCTCTAGGGGTCCTTGAATTGGAATAGATTCCAAAGCAGTGGATTTGATTTGGGCTTTGTTTCTGTAAAGATTTACAGCCATGGAAACGTTATGGGGCAGTTCTGCAGTGCCCTACAGGGTCACCATGAGTTGGCATCACCTTGATGGCAACAGGTTTGGTTTTTATTGTGCTTCAAAAAGATGGCCATCAGCTTGTCACCCTAAGCCATCCTTGCAGTAAGCGTGCCCTTGGATATCCCATTTCCAGGGAGGGGCCAAATAAGATGGAAGCCCAAGGTCCCTAAATAATCTTTATTTAAGTGTCATCTCCTCACTAAAATGGAACATTTTGAAGCTTAGGTAATGCTGTGACATAGTCTTCATTCCCTTTAAAGGAAACTGTTTTTCTGAGTACTCTTTCCGATTCCTCATCATTCCCATACCAAGACTGAATGCCTCATATATTTTGTCTTTCAAAACATTTTTCTGCTAAATAAAATTCTGAACAATTTTCCCCGTGGAATAAACAATAAACAGCCGAATCACCTCTCCATTCTCTGTTTAGCCATCATATTTCTGATGTTTTATCTACCATCGGATATTTATACGTTTGCCAACCCTTCAAGTGGCCTTAAAATGTGGGACCACAGACTCTAAGGCCCTTTAAACACCAAACTATAGGATACAAGATAACATGGCTGGAACAAGGGAGGCCCGCTCCCACCCTGCCCGCCACCGCCACGGGTCACCTCCAGTGCGCTGAGCCCACCCTCCTCTCGCTCACATCCCCCATCACTCTCCATGAGTCACTGACCCTTGAGTCCAGGGTCACCGGAGCCCTGAAGTGGCTGGGTGCACATCTGGGAGGCGGAGGGGAGCTCTGCCCTAGGCAAGCCTCCCTTTTTCACATTGAAAATATTTTCTTTTTGTTCGTATTTATTACACTTCTGATGCCTGTGTGTTCTGTTTCCTCCCCTGGCTTGGGTCAGACATTAGCCAAGTATTTGAAGTTCCCTGTCCCTTGTCTTTATCACTGTCCTCTGTTTTGAAGCTAATCAAGCATCCTCTCTGGTTCCAGACCTCACAGGAATCTGTGGGAAGTCCGCTCACTCCATTTCAGCAGAGTTTGAAC